CGTGGTGCTACCCCAGGCAGCAACGCAGCCATTGGAAGGGAGTGCTGTTTGGGATGCGGCTGGTTGTGGTAGCTCCCTGTCTCTCCGGCAGACGCCCACTGGCTGGTACAGCAGCGCCCTCAAATTCCATCACATTAACGGAATTAACACCCACCGGGGCCTACCCCATCTCAGAGCACGGGGGGTTGGGTTTTTTTACTAGCTCCTTAGCAGAGGAGCTGAGCGGCATGAGGAAGGAGAGAATTGCAGAGAGAGACGGGGAGAAGTCAAGGCACAGATGGATTTGGATTCTTACAGGAATGTCTTTCAGCACCTGGTTTTCCGCCTTGGGCCGCCCTTTCTTCTTGCCTTCTGCTTTGTCGCTGGTTGCGTTTCCTGCAAACAAACACAGAACATAAGGCCTGCAGCTCTCCAGCTAGCACTCGGAAACCTTGATTTCTGACCTTGCACTGCAGTCCTCCTGCCTATTATCCGGCAGGGATAGCCCAGCCTCTCCCAAACCTCCTCCCACCCTGTGCCGTGACTGTCCCAAATTCTTGCCACCACAATTCAGCAGGGTTAGAGTCAAACTCTGAGCAGGCCAGCAGCCAATCCCCAGGGAACTTCAAAATGCTTAGCTGGGCTAGATCTGCTCCGATTTAACCCAGAGGTGAGGAACCTTATTTAGGTCAGGGGCCACTGACGCACAGAAAATCAGTGGGGGAGGCCGCACAAAAATGAGAAAAAGAAAAAAAAAAGCCAAATAACCCTCACTGACATGGGAGAGGGCTGCCGGGAAGCAGGCTTGGGGTGCGGGATGTGGGAGGGAGGGTGCAGGATCAGGTTGGGGGGCTCTGGTTCCCTGATGCTGGGGAGGAAGCCCCATGCCTCAGGGGCCAGATCCAGGCAAGCTGGGGCCACATCTGGTCCTCCGGCCACAGATTCCCTACCCCTCTGTTTAACCCATCGGCTTCCGCAGGAGCAGAACGCGGCCAAAGCCGGGCGCTCCAGAAATCCAGGCCCAACTCATCCTTTTCTCTTTGTCTTCAACAACAAACAGGCGTGGGCTGGAAAAAGGAAACAAACCCTGATGCCCAGTGAAGACAACCATGAGCAAAGATCCCGCCACAATGGTCTCCTAGCAACGGGCAGCCATGGGCCCATGGCGGATGTGCTTAAAATGGAAGCGTTGCGGCCGAGAGCTAGGCGTCGATGGCATGGTTGGAGGAGATTGAGGACTTATGGCCATGGAGCTGGTCGTGAGGGGCTGCAGCGACTGGAGGGGAGCCAGGAAGGAAGAAGAGATGGTGGAGAAAAAGGGTGGGGCCTAATGAGAGGTCTTCATCCATCTTTGTGAAGTGGCTTTTGGGGTGCCCTGCGAGGGCCTTGGCCTGGCTGACCCTCGGCCTACGCTCAAGCCGTAGCAGTTTTGAGCCTCGTGCCCCTGGGTTCTCCCCACACTTGGGCCATTGCTCGAACCACACGACAGCCACCCCTGCTGTTCCTGGCAGGAGTTCAGCTCACTCATGGGATCTTTTCAGAGCCCTATTTACAGTGACCTCGCCTCTAGCTTCCCAGGAGCCACGGCGGGTCCCTGAGTAGAAGCTTTCGCTCACGTCCAGCAAGTAGCAGGAGTCTGCCTCCAATGATGGAGGGGAGGCTGGCAAGAAAAGACTAGCAACTGCCTCAGGCTGAGCTCTCCTTGTTGTAGGAGTTCACTAGCTGTGTCTGTTCCTGGGGAAACACCCCACTTTCTGTGGCCAGCCTCCCCCCTTTCAGCGCCACTTCCCTAAGGAGGGGCATATGGGTGTGTTTCATAGGCCCTGCCTGGGTGCAGGCCCGCGCAGCGTTCCACCAGACACCCCACACAGGTCTCTATGGTACTTTTGTGATGTCTAGCTTGTGTTCTGGCTCCACTGTCCAGGGAAGGATTGCACCGGAGCTGAATGAATAATGGAGGGTTTGGTTCTGTTAACCCAAAACAATTCCCCCCCCCCCCCCCGATTTTTTTTTTAGTAAGGCTGTCACTTTTAGTTCCCCTGTTTTCGTTTTTTAAAAACAAATCCAGCTCCGTTTCTAAATGAAACGCCGTTCTGGGAGGAAAAGCTGACTTTGTCCTTTTGAAAATAGTCCAATGAAAAGTTGAAACATTTGTGACGGGTTGGATCACAGAAATCAGAGGTGGGGTTACAGCCCCTCCCCAGCACAGCAACATAGACTCTACAGTAGCTCAGATCTGGGAGGGCTACAAGGGCTCAGCACGCAGGAAATCAACCCCCAAAAGGGATCAAAACCCCAAATAAATCCATTTTACTCTAAGGTTGTGTCTACATTGGCCCCTATTCCGTATAAGGGATGCAAATGTAGCACTTTGGAATAGGCAAATCCGCGGGGGATTTAAATATCCCCCGCGGCATTTGCATTAACATGGCTGCCGCTTT